CTACAACTATTGGTATATGCCAATGCCTTTAATATTAATTACGTATTTATTTGAAGTTGATCTCATATTCCAAGCTCTGCAATTTAAAAAGGCATCATGCTATATTTCTTAGAAAATGTGGTAATATTCCAAGAAGATCAGTGCCTCAGTTCCTAAAGAATCTAAACTTCAAAACCTTATTTTTGAATGGTAAAGCAAAAACATTAAATGTGTCGATAACATGCAAGAGATATGACTAAACCAAAATAGGTTATGGTGAAAAAATGTGAGTTATAGAGCTGGCAACGAGAAGTGAAAGAGAAACGAAGTGAAGGACAAATATGAATAAATGCATCAATATGAGTAAATTAATGAGAGTTGCAAGAAGGCTGATAATGAAAAAGAGAGAACCTAAAATCCATTTTTTAAAAGACGAAAATAATATTGTAGAATTCCATTCGTTTCACTGATTAAGATCTTATCTATTATACCAATATCTAATGCACGCAGAAATCGAAAGAGTACTATCCTGCTTCCGACCATGTGAGATGTGTAAGTTTCATTATATTGGACAGTTCAAATTATTATTGGACTATGTAACGGTATATACTGTACTATGTTATTGCAATATTCACATATACTTTTTTGTTAAAATATTTAATTTTCAGGGTTATAAGAGAGTATTTTATTTGTTGTCCCTCGGTCTGTCCGTCCCTCAGTCTGTCAGTCTCTTGGTCTAGCAGTCTCTCAGTCTGTCAGTGCCTCCGTCCATAGAGGTGCTCGCCTGTCTGTCAATCTATCTGTGTCCGTCTATCTGTTCGTCAGCCTGGCCGTCTCTCTGTCTATCCGTCCATCTTCATGTCTGTCTTTCCATGTGTCTGCCTGTCTGCTCATCTACCTCCTCGAATTTCCGTCCATATCTCTCTCTGTCTGTCCGTCGATCTGTCTATCTGTCCGTCCATCTGTTTTTCCGTCTGTTAGTCCATCTACCTGACAGTCCATCTGTCTGCGTCTTCATATGTCTGCCTGTTCATCTGTCCACCTGTCTGATTGCCTGTTCATGTGTCTGCCTGGTATTTTGTCTTCCTATCCATTGGTTTGTCCATCTTGCTGCCCGTCAGTCTTTGTGCCTACCTGTGTGTCCGTCCGTATGTACGTCTTTCTGTCCATCTATCTGTCTATCTATCAGTCTCTTATTCTGGCTGTCTGTCTGGACGTACATCTATCTGACTGTCTCTGTCCATGTGCCGCAGCGGGAAATCATGACCGCGTAGGGGGCCATGTTTTCTGGTGGGGAGTTGTAGGGCGGTATTAGGCGAACGATGTTCCTCGAAATGCTCCTGTTTCCTCCTACAGAAGTCCAGATGGGGAACGTAAACCTCGGGTTACCCAGGTTCCGACCGCACTCACGTCGATAGACTAATGGGGATTGCAGTGAAGAGACGGGAAGGAGCCTCGAACCTTAGCTCTCGAGGCCCCTTGTTGTTCTCTTGGCTTCGTCATGGCAGTAGCCCGATACTCAGGCTTAGGGGAGGGACTTGTCCCGGCGCATGTGAGTGGCGCGTTCATTTGACTCCAGAACTAGCCTGGATAGATTGGAGCTCTGAGCTGGCAGGGCGGTTCGACCCAAGCGGTGTATGGGGAGATTACCGAGAGGCTAAACTGCGTTCTGGCGGGATCATCATCCCAACGGCCTACGTTGTACGCCTACGGACGGTGCGATTAGAGGCCAACACATAAGTGCCTACCCCGGAGTGAATTCTCCCTGGTAATGTACAGGTGCGAGGTACGCGTACTGCAGATCACTACACTGTCTCTATCCATGTGTCTTTCTGTCTCTATACATCTCTGTCCGTCAGTACAATTGTCTATCCGAGACCACTAGCGTCTAAACTATTAGTAGGATTATATGAAACTTATTCTATTAGTGTGATATTTTTTAGAATTACTATTATCCAATCAATCTGGTTCGATTCAAAGCACTGCGAATTTCAAAATAGTTTTTGGAATTTTGGGGGTACATTACATGAAGCATCTGTAATATTTTCAACATTTTCTCAAATATGGCTCTAATTTTGTCTTTAAATTTCTCTTAAGAATGGAATGAAACATTCATATAAAGATGACGCAGGAGCGATTATTACAGTTTACTCTGAATTTTCGAAAATCGCGGAAGTTTGAAATTTTTGAAACCCCTCGTACAACTATATCATTGACGATAGACCTTTTTTCTTCAGATGAATTTTGATTTCCTTAATTAGTTCTTTAATAAATGTTAGATTCTTTTTTTCAATATCACTAATTTTTACTTAATTTTTGTGAAAAATGGGCAACCTTAAAATCTAGAGTTTCTCAAAAAGACTCAATTTTTGTTTTTCTTTAAATTGCTTGTATGGTAGTGCAAGTGCACTGAATAAAATGATTACAACGCCATTTTGATGGTTTCTTTTGATTATTTTAAAATTACGCAAATGTATTTTTTTTAAGCACATCTATTGTTAATATTTACGTTTGGAGTTGTGTATAAATTATTGCAAACGTTTTTAATTGATTTCTTATGAAGTTTCTCAAAAGTATTTCTGTGAAAATTAAATTCGAAATTGCGAATTTTCAGAAATGCTGAAACGATATGTTCTCAAAAACGACTTCAATTTTGGTAATGAAAATTTGTATATAATACCAGATGTTACTCTTGTATAATATTATTAGTCATATTTCTATTCTACTATCAGAAGACTAGAAAATTGAGAAAGTATGAAAGAATGTCTTTTAGGCGCCGTTAGTTAGCAGCTAGAAAGCGGACGGGCAAACCCAAAAAGCAACCAGAGACAAAAAATATCACGAAAGTAACTAGTAAGAGAAAGTCTGCGTCATTACTAATTAATGGTGTTGATTTGACGAGATTATCTAGGTAAACAACGCACGGTTTTTGAGATTTTACGAGTAAATATGAAAGAATTTGAAATTATGTTTAATTTTAAGAGGTTTTCAAGTAATGGCTGAAGGAGAGAAATGTTAATATTACGAAACCGTTACCAACAATATTAGGACGTATGTGCAGCTGTGACACCAATATTAATTACGCAACCACTAAGAAGCCACGGCATTGTTTTCAAAGGAAACAATGATTTTCTGAGAAAAAAAAGTAGAATTAATTGATCGAACATTAAGAGTTAATTGGTTCTGCAAGGGAGAAAGAAATATTGATTCTCTGCTATTATGGACATTATAAACGAAATTGTAAGTGGTGGTTGGAAGTTACTGAGCCTTCTATTTTCTTGGAAAATGCATCAATCCTACATATACTTCCCGCAATGTCAAAAATCATATACTACCGTTCCTTTTCATGGAAATGCTGTCTTTCAATTTTATTAGACGTAAAAAGTAAAGAAAATATGTTTTCTGCAAAATAATTTAAACTGAAGAATAATTTAACGAATGGAAAGAAAAAAAGAAACAAGAGTTTAATAATAAGTCATTAGTTTCATGGAGCTTAACAATTTAAAAGGCTCGAAACACGTTTGCTGTATATAAGTAACGGTGCGGGACTATAGCAATCAACAGGTTGCGATAGCGACAGGTAGATTCGCATGACTTGCCTGCCCTCTGGAGCGTACCTGCGAAATGAAAAGTTTGCGACTAGCTTGTCAACTTCGTCGTAATACCTGGGGCGAAGTTAACATCGGAGACGCAAAGTTGGGCGGCATGAAATGACTAAATCGATGGGTCCTTCTCTCCCACGCTCTTCTGGAAACTTAGTTAACTATAAAGTGCCAATGATGGTCTTTGATGGCGACACCATATTTCTACTTTAATTGCTTTTATACTAATTAATCTTTGCCATTTTAATCACATTACAATCATAAGTGTAAACATGATTATAATGTATGCATTTTATTAAGAATGGTCCTTAAAACATTGAAACATATAAAAAGGGAGAATTACATGCAGGCGCTATATCTGACAAACATTTTGCCCCCCAATAACATCAAAATAGCATCGCTTAGTCGTACACGTGTTTAAAGATAATACATGTTCACGAGTACAAACTATGAACGAATCTGCGAACGGATAAAACTCTTTGCATTAGGAAATAAGTTGTATACCTTTTATGTATGCCTATTCCTATTGACGAGGAAAAGAGCATGAAATGACCCTTGGTCAATTTGAAAAGCAGTACATTTCTCTCATACCAAATGTGGCATTGTGTCCAGGATTTTGTTTACAAACTACAATAAGTAATATGGTCATTTTATGAAGGAACTATCTGATCCCTTGCGTACATTTCGCACTTTGTAAATAATTGCTTTGAAGATACAAATAGCTTTTTACTGTTTTTGACATTCATCAAATACTAGATCCCAACTTCGAAGGACTCTAAAGTTATAAAGGCCCGCCGTGACGGGCTTATTGACGCATCAATTTAATTTTACATAGATTTTGCCAAGACATTTTACATAGACGCGCCAAATTAATTTTACAAATTATAACAGTGAACAGCTTTTCATTGGAACCTACGTCTTTCCAGTGCTTGGGACAAATCCTGCTTTGTTGCGAGGGAACCTTCCATAAATCACTAAAACACCCCAAAATGTTCCCCTTTAGGTTAAGGCTTATAGATTTCACTCATATCCCGATAGGACATGTAAACATGCCCATCGTTTCTCAAGTATGCACGATTGTAAACTGTTTTACAGGGAATCGTATACTGTGAGTTTCACCTGCACATAATGATTTTCATAATTAATTAATTAATAAATAGGGGAGGAGAGAAAGTAGGATTATTCATAGAAACGGTCCGGCGGCCATAGAAGCTCATGGGATTACTTTGTAAGAAAGAGTATGTCAGTAATATATATTGCGAACTCGAATCTGAAATGTTCTATTTCGACACACAAATATACAAAAATGAACCTAAATATGTAGTAACATGAACAATAGAAGTATTTCAAATTCATTCAAAATGTTGTGTAAACTGAAAACAACATTGCTGAGTGAAAGCGTATCGCTCCCGCACTCACCCCTGGCCTCGTGGAACTCGAGCGCGATGTGCGCGTCGACGCCGAGCGAGAAGTAGTTGTTGACGACGTTGAGCGGCAGCTGCTCCTTGACGGGCTCGCTCTCGTCGTCGGGCGCGGCGCCGCCCGCCGCCGGGTTGCGCTCCACCGTCAGCTTCCAGCGGTCCAGCTGCACCACGTCGCTCGCCCACAGCTCCGTCAGGATCTTGGAGATGGGCTCGTCCGTGTAGCCCTGCGCCCACGACGCGTTCGCTCGCACCGCGCGGCCAGCGCTGCTCCGGCTCCTCGCGACGCGCGCTCGGCTCAATGCATGTTGGTCTATGCAAGTGTATTTATATATATGTGTGTGTGTGTGTGTGTGCGCGCGCGCGCACGTGATTGTGAATGTGCACCAGGAAAATCTATGTTGGTGTGTGGACGTTGACAGACGTGGAAACTGTGAATAATTCAATTTCTTCTTTAAGAGATTTGTTTGGATTAGAATTGATGTGTACGCTCTTAGAAATATTCCGCGATACTTTCAGTAATAATTGAAATACCTGTTTGCAGGGAGAAGTGAATTTTTAAAACCACTGCGATTATTATTTGTTTTAAGATGTAGGAGGGATCAAAAATGTGGAATTTGTGCAGACTATAAGTTGAATTATATCAAAACGAGAAACAATGAAGCACGTATCAAAATTGTTGATTACATCATTTGTTTGGATATATTAGGAATGTGTTTTGTGATGAACGGTATTGAGCTTACCTGAAATCTCAGTAATGGGTCATTAAATGTGAATACGAAAGAAAGTCGTGTGTATACCAAACCCGAACGTATATTATTCAACTTCTTTAGTATTTATCTACGTCTGGTTTTTGTATTTGCATTCAAATTTCCATCATAGAAGACATTTTATCTTTTGTAACAGTGCAAATTTGTATTATAAAATAAATAAATCTGTTTCATCTGTATCATGTACGTATATTTTTAAAAGTAGTTTTGTAAGTCTTACTATCTTATTTTTGGTTACTTTGAGGTATACATTGAAACATATTGATCTGTTACTATGATCATATAAAAAGCTCAACTGGTGACACAATGCTATCCTTGTGATACGCTGAACATTTAATAAATAATTCTACAATTTTTCGCAACATCTTTCCAGGAACGGTCCGAAATATCGCATGGTCAATGATCACAACAAACCCGAGTTCATTCAACTCAGAAACGAATTTACCCCCCGCATTTCATTTTAACTTAGAACCAAGTGTTTTGTATAAGACATCGAACACAACACGAACGCGCTCGATACATATCGAATAACAGGCACACTCAGGCTGACATTTACAAGCATAGCAACAGGTAGACACAGACGGAGTGCGGGCACGAAGCCAGGCGAACACATATACACTCACACACACATACCAAAGCGAACACAGTAGCAAGCAGACCGCGCCACAAAGGCTACGTACAAGCATAAATGGAGGAGGTACTTCGTTTCATATGCTGCAGACGCAGTGAAGTCATGCACTCTGAGGGAACAGATGATATTACGAATAACTACGACACAAATGGCGCCATACATTGCAATGATAACACGGAACGTTCTGGAACATTCAACAGCGTTCCCAACATTCATTCCACACCATACCTCTGTTAAGAAGACATCCCTCATCACGAACCAGTAGGACTATTGGCATCGGAGATGTATATTATGGTTCTTTTCTTGTACATGAATAATTACTATAGCCCTGATGATTTTTCAAAAATAATTTAAATGAAATTTATGGCAAATGCATTCATCGCATTGCATCTACAGAAATTTTCACTGATATTTAATTTTATTTTGCACGAAATATATTGTTACTATTATAATTTCTAATATAAATCCATACAATTTTGTATTTTTGCTACAACCGTTGCTGTTAATTTATTTTTTAGTTGAATTAAAAAGATTCGAATAATTTAGAAGGTGGAGGTGGATGATCGTATCTATAGAGAGAGGAATGAACGTAATCGAGATATCATAAATCATAATTCAAAAGTCGATATTTTGAATCGAGACTGCACCAAAAAATGTGTCAATCAATGCTCTCCAGTGATTATATATTTGGAGAAGTAGAGGCAGCAAGTTTTGAAGAGCGAAATTGGAGTGGTTTGCATTTGATTAGCAAGTAGCGATCTGTTGTTATTTGTTTTCAAATGCATTTTATGAACACTCATCATACTAGAGTCCTCTGCACTCAACAAAGCAACAGTAGCTAACCTACGAACAAAGAATGTACTCGTATTATAAGTTTGGAATATTGCAAGAACTAAAAAAAACATGTGCTAATTAATCCATCTTAGATATGAGTAACCAGTAGAAACCAAAAGTGTAGAATTAGGTGTTTAGATATTCAAGTTTCGCCGTGATCAAGATTCACTTACTTCTTCTTTCATCGTAATCTGTGGACAGTTATTTGCTTTCTTCTATCATCTTTTATGCGTTTCCTATCTGCAAAACGCACTGCCTGTTTATCAAAAATATTTAATCAGTTTACTTGTTAAATGGAGCTAAAACACAATTGCATTCCTTTTCTACAGTCTGTGAACTTTATTTTTGCAGTGTGGTTTATCTCTGTACTACAGATCTGTAGTTTATTGCAGTAAAAACTTCATATAATTCTTAACTTTATGAGAACAATTTGATTCACGATAAGTTTGACAGCTAATCAGGAATTATATTTTTGCACCACCTTCGTGTTAAAGAAAGAGGAATTGTAAAACCTATTGGTATATTAGTTGTTTTGTCATTTACTTGAACAAAAAGTACCATTTGGGATTACATTAAAGATTAGTAATGTTGAAGAAAAATTGTAGTAGTATGGAAATATAGTAATTGTTTTTGCTTTCACAAAGTTTCACGTGAAATTGCGATTTCAACTGACAATCGATCAACAGAACCACGCGGATTAAACGACATAAACGCAACTTCACCCCCTATAGTTCATAAAAACATTAAGTAGTTCTTTAAAAGTACAGAAGAAAATTTAAAACACATAATCAACTCGGATAGAACATCCTTATAAAAAAATCTCATTTCACGTAAAATTCAATTTGAAACCTAGTTTTGCAATGTGTTTCAAAGATACGAAGGCGAAAAAACCAGAAGACAACTTTCAACATCTCTATCGTTTCGGAAATTGAAAAGTCTTAATTCGTAGCTCTATGACGCACAGTTTTTGAAGAAGTGAAAGTATTCACATTCAGCCTTTTAGTTCAAGATGGGATTCAACAATTTTCGGATAGCCTTTAACACAGGAGATATGCAATGTTCGAACGGAATGCAATATGTAGCAGCATGATGGAAAAAGCTCGAAACGTTTAAAATACCTAGAAAACCAACGAAAATTAAGATATATCACTTTGGAAATAAGCTTTCAAATGTTAGTTTAACTCGACCAACATCTTCCACATTAAAATAATTTAATTCTCACCTAAAAGTCTTTATAAAAGGTAAATAATAGATTCTATTCATGCTGGTTGTTCTACCTGTGCTGTGGTCGTACTGTACTAATCGCGAACGGATGAACAAACCGTCGAATTCGTTAACTGTGCTATGAATTCAAAGCACAATTTGAAATAAACGCCAAAATTGATTATCTGAATAGACTGCCAAGAGCAAGCCTGCCCAACACGATGAATTCAGAACACCATTACTAGAAAAATGCCCGAGTTATCGTCGGGCCACTTTCTTCCTTCAATCCTTGTTTTTTTCCTTCGTGAGCGGCCCACGTCACTCCCTCAACAAATGTAGTATTGCCAGAACTGAGTCTGAAAACTTGCATGTGACCCTTGTGACAACGGTTGTCCTAGACGGAGGTCCTAAGGCCATTGTTTTGACGAGAACTGGTCAAGAGAAAGAGAGTGCACAGCGTCTCAAAATTAACGTTATAAATTTCTAGGGCATGTAGGAAGGTCCAAGATGATAACTAAAGCTAATGAACGTGTGGTGATAAATCTCATGTGAAAAAATTACAAGAATGACATTTTCCTCTGATTGGTAAGCAACTCATCTTTCACGGGTGTTTGGCAGGTATACAAAAAATTGTTACAGAACGTGTACCTTCGCAATCGCAGTGCAAGATGAACTGCCCCTCACTTCGGAGCAAATGCCACATATGTACTTACATGATAGTATGGTATTACCTACCACATGTTCATTAGTAATAAACAATCATCTTCGCTCTTTCTACTCGTCATGGACGTTTATAACATTTATTCTGAGGCAGTCTGCTTAAGAGGGCGGTGGTTGGCCCAATGCGGCGAGCCCAACGCGAAGGGGACACTCACGCCGCCCCAGCCGAGCGAGCGCGCCAGGTCGTTGCCGGTGCCGAGTGGCAACACGCCCACGGGCGGCGCGGGCGTCACGTCCAGCTGGTCCAGCACGCTCAACACCCAGCCGGCCGTGCCGTCGCCGCCGCACGCCAGCACGCGCAGGTTGGGGACGCGCCGGTACAGCTCCAGCCTGCAAGCACACGCACGGCGCGGGCGAGCGCCGCGGTTAGCGTGCTCTCACTACATTCATTCAGGCAATTCAATCATTCATTCATCCAATTCATGTTTTCAATCTGGTGTTTTAACCATTTAGATTTTTTTTCGTTTCGACAATTAGTTTATTTAGCAATGGGTTCATTTTGTTTATTATCGTTTCGTACAATAATCGTATTATTCTCAATTAAAATTATTTTTATTTAGACTTCATTCTTTCAGAAAATTTAATTAATTCAATTGATCTATTACACAGCCACACAAAAAAATTGTGTTCGTATCTGAGGATCAGACCATATTTTCAATATGTATGTGGGATCGCTAAATCCAGATCCGGTGTCTATTTTACTCCTTCACATCAGGTTTTTGACATAACCTCAAAAATTATAAAACAAGAAAGATATTTCTAACCGATTGCTCAGACCCTGGCTGACGTTTTTCTCAGCTAAAATGCGACATCGGACGCCCACGAACACCTCGGTTTACAGAGCGTTCAACTTCCAGGTATCTCCACCAGTGGGGCACCCATCCAGCCGACAAGCTCCTGATTAAACCAGGAAAATTTAAAACAGTCATTGAGTCATCCACCAGTGACTCATTCCTTAGACTTCCATGTTAATTTTGAACAAATTGTCGGATTGTTTGACATTTAATATTGTTTTAATTCATTCATAGTTTTGCATACCTAAAGTATTCTACTTGAAAATACCCTATTCATGAACTTACTAGATAATTAAGTTGTTAAAAAGTACCTTTGTAAATGCCTTTATTTCATTAATGTGTGACAATTTTTTGCCCTTAATTTTAAGCGTGTCTACAAATATTTGTATTTTTGTTTACATACGCAATACATGAAATTAGGGTTGTGAGAGGGAAAACTACAACTATGTTCATAAAAAGAGATTTGCTCTTTCCGTATCTATTACTTTAGATTCAGACAATTAACTTTTGTTTTTTTTTGTTAGTTATGAAAATGAAGAACTTCATATTGTGTATTATCTCAATTTTTTGCAGAGATTTTTGGTCAGGGTGAAGTTTCGTTTCATCAACCATGTTTTTGTTTCGAAGCGCAATTCGCTATCGAACGAACAACAACCTGAAGTGACGCCGTATTAATTTGACGGTGAGGCCGCCGGCGCTGAATGTATTCATCGAATCGCACATATCCATAAAATTTCGCATTTAATTAATATTTATCTCGTCGCTTGTGATCGATGCTCAGTGCCGAACGGCTTCGCCGGTGAAGGCATTCGGAGAGGGGCAAGCTGGAATACCCTGTCGGAACCGATGGAATTATGAAATTTATCTCGTGTGATGCAGTGATGACCGGTTGTATTGGCATCTGTAGTTGTGGGTCTGCAAATAGGGTAAAGACATTTACGTATATGTCCCACCAACTGTGGGACACCTCCATAGCTTCTAAACGGGTCGCGATATCAAAAGGCAGTTTTCGCTTAACAATGCGTAATCAGAGGGTCAGTAACATTCCTTAGAGAAATGGCCTATACTATTTTATTATTTTATTTTTTGAAGTATATTTGGATTGTGAGGTAGGTACTGCATAAGTACGTAAGGGGAGAGGATAGGACAAGGAACCGGAAGAAAAGATCGCGCGAGGTTCGTGGTCCGTTTGTTAGGGCACTGCTCCGGTATTGTCTTCGTATTGATCGGAAAATCCACGGATAACTACCAGTCTGAGCAGCCAGCAATTCT